CGTGCATATATATATATATATATATATATATATATATATATATATATATATATATATATATAGCAACAAAAATGAAATGGTTTTTAATCACTTCCGCTTTGGTTTATTTTGCTCTATGGACATTATTATCGCTGAGTGTATGCTTTCTCTTCCAGATAAGCTATTTTTCATCTACACCTCTGGCACTACAGGGCTTCCCAAGGCAGCTGTTATCACACATGGAAGGTGAGGAAGACATCAGCTCAGACGTTGTTTGCCTGATGAAAATGATGATGATGATAACAGCTAAATTTGTTATTGGTTATACTTAGCATTGGGACAGGAGTGTCTGTACAAGAAAGCACCTCAGTTTATTCTCCAGGCTTTATAGATTTTTTTATCTAATGAAAAAAAAGATGAGTTACTGAGTATGTTATGTCACATGAAATTTTCTATACGATTTCACATCTGCCAAGTCTGCCAAATTTATTAATTTTCAGGTTTTACTACATGTCCCAAGGAGTGCACAAGATGTTTTCCATGCGTAGCAGTGATGTTATATACGACACACTTCCTCTCTACCACTCAGCAGGAGGAATCCTGGGCGTTGGCCAGATGATTATCAGTGGGTGTACACTGGTGGTCAAGAAAAAGTTTTCTGCCAGCAAATTCTGGGATGATTGTGTGGCTTACAATTGCACAGTAAGGAAAATGGAAACTTTTTACTGTCTTTGGTTACAATGTAACTTATTAGTCATATTTATCCTGTTTTCATTTTATATATCACAGTTGTTGTTTTTTTTCCCCCGAAAGGATGTTTTTATCACGACCACTCGAAATGTAATTTTGATATTTTTCTGAAACATGCAGATTTAAGATAATTAAAAAATGAAGTTTTCAATTCATTTTCAAGAAAAGAATTTATTCATTCAATTATTTTCTAGGTAATTCAATATATAGGAGAGATCTGTAGGTACCTTTTAGCTCAGCCATTCCGTCCCACGGAGACCCAGCACCAGGTGAGGCTGGCCTATGGGAATGGACTGAGGCCACAGATATGGGAGCAGTTCGTCAGCAGATTTGGGGTGAAAAAGATTGGGGAGTTTTATGGTGCTACAGAGGGCAATGCCAATGTCTGTGAGTAACATTGTTACCTATAAAAATGAGTGATAAAGTTTGATTTGTGGCCCTCTTTGTACAGGCTGTTTGCATCAAGATGTTATTTGAAAAATAATAGGCATCTACTACTCAGTATCAAACAGTGGTTTTGTTTTAACTTATTGTTATCGGCCGTGAATATATTGTAATAAAAGTCTTGTATTTATTGCTAGAATGCAGTAGCTAACAGTCCTTTGTTTAAAGCTGCATTTTTTTCCATTCCATTTTTCCACAATGGACAATAGAGTGAGTAACTCAAAAAATTCACAAGACTTATCCCCTCTCTGAGACCTTCTGTGTTCTAATTATTATAAGTATGTTTTCTCACAACCAGGCAGGTTAATAAGGGGAGTTAAGGTTCACCAAGAAACTGCCCGTCCTTTCTGTACCACTTAATGTAATGTTGTTATTTTTCAGTAAATATGGAGGGCAAGATGGGTGCGGTGGGGTTCACGACCAGAATAGCCCCCGCCCTGTATCCTGTCACCCTGATCAAGGTGGACAAGGAAACTGGAGAGCCTGTCAGGGGAAGGAATGGGCTGTGTGTTCACTGTCAGCCAGGTAGGTACAGGTGTCAGGGGAAGGAATGGGCTGTGTGTTCACTGTCAACCAGGTAGGTACAGGTGTCAGGGGAAGGAATGGGCTGTGTGTTCACTGTCAGCCAGGTAGGCACAGGTGTCAGGAAAGGAATGGGCTTTGTGTTCACTGTCAGCCAGGTAGGTACTGGTGTCAGGGGAAGGAATGGGCTGTGTGTTCACTATCAGCCAGGTAGGTACAGGTGTCTTCACGAGAAAAATGAACACACCTTCTTTTTTCTATTTTCTTATTTTTCTACTTCTTTTGCTAAAATAAGATCTGGAATTTGGTTGATTAATTTTGCTATACTATAGCTTTTTTTAACAATGAATCATTTTGACTATTAAGCTCCCAAATAATATTCATTTTTTTAATCAGGGGAACCTGGTGAGCTGGTGGGTAAAATCATCAAGGGGGATATCATCCGAGAGTTTGACGGCTACTCAAACCAGTCTGCCACAGAGAAGAAAGTCGCTCGTGATGTCTTTTCAAAGGGTGATATGGCATTTTTGACTGGTGAGTATTAGATATATCTGTCTATTCCTAGGACCCCTGAAGTTTTATAGCTGAGATTTTAATGAAAAAATCCAAGCCAGCATTTTTCTTGTAAATTGTATTAAAATATGACAAACCACACATTAATAATTCAAGGATTGTGCTAGAAAAGGATGATAATTAGTTGACTCAGAAATTTTGGTTGGATTCTTAAAAAGATATGCAAATATTTTAAACTTGTAAGAAAAAATATTTGTCTTAGTTGCGAAAAAGGGTAATTGTGACAGTCTCAAGAAAAAGATGAAAACAACACAGTAACTAGTTATTAGAATATTCATATGTTTATTTATGAAAGTTTGCATACTCTGGTAGGTAAAGACCTGTGCCTCATGTTAAATTATGTAAATATTTTCTAATCAGGTGGTCAATATTTTTCTCTCTCCAGGTGATGTCTTGGTGATGGACCAGTTCGGCTATCTCTACTTCAGGGATCGCACAGGTGACACATTCCGCTGGAAAGGGGAGAATGTTTCCACCGCAGAGGTCGAGGCAGTTATCAGTAATATTATCAAACTTAAGGATGCAGCAGTATATGGAGTGGAGATTCCAGGTAAGCGAAAGCAATGACTCGAATCTTTTCATTGGGGAAAGTTATCAATCTCCTAGATCATAATTGTGAATTCATTAAAAATTAAACTTTTGTATGGCATTTGTGGTGCTATTACTGTTGGAAATAGGAGTACAGATTTGCCTGCTGTTAATTTTGGTGCTGCCACTAACAGTATTGTATTTGTAAGTTCATAATTTTCTCCTTTTAAAAGATCTATAGTCACTACTGTGACAGTTTGGTGTGTGATGAGGAAAATATGTCAAAAGCAGAACAACTGTCAACCTTAAAACATCCACTAATTGAAAAAAAAACTTGATAGTGGATCTGAGAAGAACACCTTAAGACCCATGATGTGATTTAATTATTAACTGGTCAGTGAAATTCACACAAAACATATGCTCTTATAAAAGTGTGCATCTAAATGTACTTAATCTCATCTCAACAGTGGCTTAATATGTTTGTCCACAAATAAGTATTTTCTGCATTTTTGAACCATTTATTAAGGTATGGAGGGCCGAGCAGGCATGGCGGCCATTGTGGATAAACATCATACAGTTAACTTGAAGGCACTCCAGCGAGATCTCCAGAAATCTCTGCCACCATATGCTAGGCCAATCTTTATAAGGTTAATGGAAGAGGTAGACACCACAGGTAAGTAGTAGATATATATTTGGAAAAGCCTGTTCTTTCCATCTGTAGTTTATTGTCATGTTTTTGTTAAGTTGCAAATTTTTCTGCTTTCTTGGTTTCATATTATTGTTGGTTTAGTAAGAATAATATTCATAATTTGAAAACTGTTATTAAAACCGACGAATAAATTTGACGTTTGATATAATTTACTGTGAATAAAACGTGTAATGAAAAATAATTTTAAGAAAAATGAATATTCAGTGCAGATATTGAGTTTACTTCAAATATGAACAAATAGATTAGAATTTTTTGCCAAATATGTTTGAACATGTCTATGTAAAATGTTATCTTTTCTGTTGTAGGTACTTTTAAATTAAAGAAAACAGAATTGAAGAAAGTGGGCTTTAACCCTGCTTTGACTGGCGACAAAATGTTTTATCTGGATTCTAAAATAGGAGAGTTTACACCTCTGAGTAAACAAAGTTACAATGACATATGCGGTGGGAAAATAAGATTCTAAGACAGGAGTGAAGAGATTAAAACAGCTCAAGTGGTATCGTCTTGGTTCTGTATTTATGAATATGCAAGGGACTTTGTGGTGCCTTAAAAGTACATTCAGACTGGTCAGTAAGTCAGGAAGATAACTGATATTAGGTCTAGAACTATTATCTGTCAATTGACTCTGTCTTCTACATACTAGTACTGAAACAGTCTGAAAAGGGCATTAGTTATACCAGTGAATATATGCTTATTTACAGCAGGCCCGTAGCCTGGGGTGTTCGAACGAACTGCCCTTTCTGCCAGGCAAAATGTACACTCTGGGTAAAAATTGATCTACTACTAGTAGAAGGTATACGTAAGTTTCATAGTAAAAGGTCTACTATTACACACACACACACACCTTTTGAAATTGCTGGCTACAGGCCTGTACAGTGATTGTACCATAAAACATTTTATAAATTATAATAAATACTGTGGCACATCTCAGTATAATATGAAAAATGCGTGGCTTTGGTCCAAAGCTGGTTATGGTTGATATTACCCCACTGTTTTTTTTTTTTTAATGGATGTAGCTTCTGAATGTAAAATGGGATCATTTAAACTTGGCTGGAACTTGGTCAGAAGGTTTAAACTCAGACTAAACGAGACAATTTAGAAAGGGTTAAAATCAGGCAATACATTTGATCACATATCACAGCATTTGATGAAACCAGATTTCAGTTATTAGTACGAATTCTTCAAGATTTTAGGGCTATTTGTAGTCTTTGAAAAAGTATTGTATTTTATCTATTACAGAGGATCAAGCTATGTTAGGAAAAGGCATTGATGTTGTTTAGTGTGTTGATAATTATGGCAGAAGTACAATTAAGTAACAAGTTTCTGAAAAGCACTGTAACTGTTGTCTAGACATAAGAAGGGATTTTTCATAATATCAAGACAATTTGCTGAATTTCTGTTGGGAACCATTTGAGAATCTCGAGCTGTTGAAGAACAAAGTTAAAACATCATCCAAATCCTATCTGCAGATTTATATATGCTAATGTTTTAGTTATGTCACTTGCAGCTAGGCCCTTTTTATTTCACTGTGCAGCATACTTACCTTTATCGCAACCTTTCCAGAGATTGATAACTTAATAACATGGGTCTTAGGTCCTCCAGTAAATGGAACCCTTTGCTCCACAAGGCCAGTTAACAAAATTAATTTCGATTAGTTCACACTGTAGAAAGCAAACTTGCAAAAAGGAACCAAAAAAAAAACAAAAACACACACATACATACACACACAATGCAAAATTACACGTTAGAACCAGTCAAAGCATTGGGGTACACAGCATGAAAAGGACCCTAGTCATTATTTGTTACAACAGCTAGAACCTCCAAACTCCCAGACCCCACGAGTGTACCCATCTCCTGTATATATATTTTTAACACAGTGAAGGTGACTTTATTTATCTGTATGGGGAGAATTGACAATTGTCATCTTTCTGTATGAATTTGGTTTGAGCCTGCTTCAGAATCTGTTCATTTAGTTGCGATTGCGATGCCCAGCATGGCAATGGCTGCCTCTTCATTGTATTGCCAGTTTCCATAGCAACAGATGTTAGTTACAGACATTGTAGACACCTCTTGAACGGAATGAGTGAAATATGAAATAGGGACAATCAAGCAGGCACAAAATGTCGGGGTTGTTGAGAATTATTCAGGCAAATCAATTGTAGAATATATACTTTGTCAGTTTACAAATGGAGAAGAACATTAAACAAAGAAGAATCATGCTATTGTTGTCCTATAGTGTAACCAGTGAGATTTCTATGAAAAATTGAATGTTCATAAGTTTATGAAGTAACAGCATTAGTGATATCTGATATTACACACTTCAAGTGATTTTTAAGAATTCAAAGTCAGTATTGATGTATTATGTTTAATATTAACTACTTTTCCTTTTAGTCATGTTATCTGGAGAATAGATAAATTTGAATAGATAAGCTTCTGTGCAACAATTGAAACTTCAAAATTATTTACATGTGTCTGGTTGAACTTATACAGCACGACTGGTCACATGTATTGATAGATTTTGTTATGGTTATCAGAGTAGATTTTTTAAAAAGTAAGCTTGAAATGCTTGTTATTTATCTTAAATCTGGATCTTGTTTATTGTTTGTAAATCCCCAGGATCCACTTTTATGAGTTTTGATTGTTTTTCCCCTTTTTTAGACTTATTACACTGTAAAAAATCTTGAATTCATTGGATCATGTACAGTTTTATTTTTTACATTGCCAACCATGTTGTCATTGCTGTACCGAGTTAGGCTATAAATACTTTATCCTGTTGGTAAATAAAAGAGAAAAAGACACAAGAATATTTGAACAAGAATAGTTCAACTGTAATGCTGATCCAATCATCCATAATAATATATATGAAAAACAATTATAATATTCACGATCCTTTAGGTCAATATTTCAAACATTCCTTACAAAAAGAATCACCTTTCATTAAAAGCAATGTGCAGTATAAAATCAATTATGCGAAATAATTTGACATTAAATATTTTAATTTTACTTAAACACAAACAATCCTAAAGATATAATTCTTTAAAATTATTTTTTAGATGCTGCTTTAAATCTAGAGGTATTAAAACTACAATAAATGTGTAAATACCACATAAAATGTACATAACCATTCTATACTTCAAATGAAAACAATATAATTTAGAATGTCATTTTTAATAACAGAACATTATCCAACAACAAAAAAAAAGAGTACAAAAATAAAAAGTAATAGTCAACAAATTTAACCGTTAAGTGGCCAGGTCAAAGTCACAGTTCACTTTTACATTAGCCATGAAATATAAGTGAAAACTAAAATACAATCACAAGTTAATATTAGCATGGCAGAGGGTCCATCTTGATGGGGTATGAGGCTATGCCCAGTAGTCAAAGCCTCGTCTTCCCTTGGCAAACATCCCCTCAGCCCCCACCCACCCACCCACCCAAACTCCTGCCTTAGTAAGGCTGTATAAATGCCTTATATTTCAAAGCTACTGTGAAAATGTACTGTGGCTATATGTAAAAACAAAACATAACATGGGTGAATTTTAGGACATAATGAAAAGTATTAACAATATACTGGTGTAAAAAACAAATAAAAAACAAAAACAAATTGTGTTGATCATTTCTAATCAGCAATTGAAAATGCTTCATTAACTAGCTCTAGACTCGTCATGTACCTTGTCCTCTTAGAACTACATAGTAGTTTTAAGAAAAATTTTTCACTGAGCAAATATCAGGATAAGGGAAAATATCCAGAGAATACTTCAGACATGGGAAAACTGCTTGTCCATTAATTCATGACCTCTTGAAATGCTACAGGACCTGCTAGGTATATGTGAAAATACAATAACATAATAATAAATCACATGTTAACATAGACCAAAGGAAATAAAATATTTAGTTTAGACCAACACAGAATTGAGGGGACCTGCAGATTTCTTGTAGTGCAGGTCTTCTGGACCTTCAGTACCTCCATAGTTTTCCCCATGTCTGATTATTTCTCTCTTACATATAATTTCTTACTGACATGGATGCCTCTCATAAATCTACAAACTTGCTAAGGCACTTCATGGCTATATGTTTTGGAGGATTTGGTTTTTCCTTAATAGCATGCACCCATTTCTTGATACCAATGAGCGCCACACTAACTGTCACCAGGGTGGCTCCAGCGATACAATACAACGTGGGGATTTCACTGAAGAACACATACTGCCATAAATATGCCAGTGGCACCTCCGAGGCCCTTGTCACGCTAATGGGGCCAGCATTTTCATACTTCATGGCAATGGTGAAAAAAATTTGACCCAAGAATGAAAAGACACCGATTAACATGATCAAAATTCTGGGCAACCCTGTTGGTGGGTCTTTTAAGCCCTGAACAGCTAAAAGTGAAACAAATGTCTGGATCATTCCCCACACACCAAAGCAAAATATAATGGTGGTATAATGAACATGAGAAATCTTACGGACAATAACAAAGGTTATGGAAGCACTTAACGTGCCTCCAAGAGCTAGTAGAGCACCAAAAAAATGCTGCTGAGATACTTCAGAACTTTTTTCAATCAACTGTCCAAATATAAACGGAGGCTGTACGACAAGAATGCAGCCACCAATTACAGTGATCGTTACTATCACTTCAAATACACGGAAGCGTTCTTTGAGAAACACGCAGCTGATAATCCCTACAAAGACTGGTGTACTCTTAACGATTACAGTGGCATCCCCTACTGGCATATTTTTGTAGGCAAGGTAGCACAGACATATTGCGGTTGTTCCAAAAAGTCCTCTTAGCCATAAACCAAACTTTTGCCCTTTTACACCAAAGAAAGGCTGTTTGTTGTATATCACCAATGGTGTGATAAAGAGAGTGATTTCAAGTTGTCGAAACACTATTATCTCAAAGACATTGACATCCTTGACCCATTTAACAAAAGCTGAACTTAGAGAAAAAAACACACTCGATATGACCCCCAACAGAAGGCCAAAGCCAGGAAACGGAGGGACGGCTTTTGCGTCTTCTTCGACGACAGCTTCTTCACCTTCCACGTCTGATGTGATCAGGGGATCTGAAGGGCCCTCGCCAACTTCTTTGCTATTTTCATCCACAATTTGAACCATTGGTAAATGCGTTACATTTTCTGTCAGCAAGTCTGGCTTGCTGTTAGCACCAAGTAATATAATCACACCGGAAGATGGTTCACTTTCCATAGTATTGCCATCCATTTGTTGTAAATGCTGAACACCGGTGCCAGTAAGTAGAGAAACTTCTACTTGCCTCGGAGTTGATCTCAAGTTGTCTTCACAGTCATCATCATCATCTTTTAAAATGTCATCCATACTAGCACCATCACATCCCTTATCATTAAGACACAGTTGAATTTCATTTGTACAAGTGAGATTTTCAGCAGACAATTTTGCCATCTTTTCAAATGAAAAACACCAGAAAAGCTTCTTTAGTTTGTTTTTTCTTTTTTTTTTTTTTCAACTGCTGGCCAAAATATTACATGTACAAAGAGATTGCAGCCTTCAAAAGCAGAAATAAATATCATCTTTTAGAATACAAATTTTCATATCAGCATTGTTCTACTAGGTCTGGAATAATGTAGATAACTGTTCATATTGGCATATTTTGTTAAAGATAAAATTTCATCAGAAGTTTTACCATTAGAAGTTTTATGGGTGATTGTAGTGGTATTTCTCTTGCCCATATTCTTCATTTCTGGTCAAGGCATTCACATGCTTGTTTTGATTTTCTTTTTACTGAAAAAGAAAAATTATATATATATATATATATATATATATATATATATATATATATATATATATATATATATATATCAATTGATAGAACTACTACGATTTCACGGTCTTTGATATGTACCTGTACCACATGCCCATATTATGTGCTTACTGTACAAACAGCACATAATTAAGTGCATGCGTACCATGCAGTACATGTACAGTACCATAAATAGTAGTGCTAACGCAAAAAAAATCGTGCTACTATTACCTTCACAGTGCACCTACACATGCACAGGTACTACCTGAAGGAGCTACATGTACACATCAGACTTCGGTGTACGTACACTTTCACTTTACACACAAACCAAGTGCACCACGTAGGCCTTCTGAAGCCAGTTACATGTACTGGTACAAGTCCACTAAAAGGTCAGCAGGGAGCATTCACCTAGCTTCAAACGGTCTCAGTAATATGTTGATAACAAATCACAGCTTGAACTTTCCGGATTTTGTTTTTGTGTTTCAGAACGCATACTGGACATACCGTAAATTACATATCGGTGGCGAAACTTCTTTTAGCGTGTCAGGTGTCCACTCGAGAGGTCTGAAAGTTTACAAGTTCAATGATTGGTTAAAATAAAAAAATTGGGTCAAGAAAGGTCAAGGACGACTGCAGGAGGGTGGTTGTCAACGAAGCCGTGAACGATTTACATGACTGAAAATGTGACGTTGTCCGGTGAATTGTCTTTTTCATCTATAAAAATGGAAAAAAACAAAAATCATTCGTAGTATTGTCAGGATTCATTTCAAAGAAAATGTTTCCAAACGTCGAGGAATTTCACTACCTGGACGTGAAGAAGTTCAGCGGTCACAAAGACGAGGTGTGTAAAAATAAAAATTAACCAAGTAAATTTTTTACCTTTATGCAGACACTTGTAGGGTTGGACTTATCTCTTTAACTGCCCTGAGTTTGCTAAAGAAGTGCCCCAATTTTGGACTATGGAGACATTGTTAGCACTTAATTTTGAAGATTTTTTTTTATATTGAATAGTCTTGTTGAAAATAATATGCTCAAGTAACCAAATAATCCCAAGTTTACTTATAGCTTTATCACTTAATACATTTTATATTATCTTTATCAAAATACTTGTCTTTCTCAAGTAATCAAGTCAAATGTAAAAATCCAGTTTATTTGTATCTTTAACAGTGTCACTTACTGATATACATGTATGTTGTTGTCTAAATCACGCTATTTCTGCCTTCCTCAGGTCAATACTGTTGCCTTTTCCACAGACTTTGAGATGATGGTGACAGGATGTGATGACCACAGAGTCCGAGTGTTTAATGTCCAGACTGGGAAACTGGTGTGCAAATTAAAGGGGCATACAGGTTCAGTGGCCTTTTTTAATAGCATTGATGTGTAACTCAGGTCGTTTTATACTTAAATACTCCATAAATCAGCATCAGTTACATCTATGGGCTCATTTCTAATTATACTGTCCTTCTAGCTAGATTGATCCATCTCCACAGTGACTCTCGCTGAATGCAATCAGATTAACAGATTTTAAACCACACCTCCCCTTGTTTCCAGCTTACTCATGTAATCACAATTTTTTTCCATATTCTATTCTTTGCCAAGAGGGAGAGTCTAAATCTGTTAATCAGATTGCATTCAGGAGAAGCCCCCGAAGAGTTGGAACGATCTATGTAGAACAATAATGTCATTGGGAATCAGCCCTTTGTCTTGTAAAATCTTTCATTATCTGAATTGTACTTATTGACAGTACTCAGGAACGTGGTTTAAAAGCTTTGCTCTTCATTATTGCTATTTGCATCTAAGAAAGTAACTTATTGTCTTTTTTTTTTCTTTCTAAGCAGTTGTTCACCAAACCTTTTTATTTTATTAGGTGCAGTGAAATCCGTTGCTGTAGCTTCAAACAGCAAGTGCTTTGCCAGTGCCTCCTATGATAAGACCATCAGGATCTGGAGAACAAGAGATGCGGTTCTGCTTCACGTCTTACAAGGTAAAAGAGTTGTATACAGTATTTCCTTAAAATTTTTGAATGCCTGACTTATTTACTCACTCTCACTCTTCTAGATTTATTATTTTTTAGTCATAAAAATGTACTTTTTAGCTCAAAGGCAAGTAATATTCCAAAATTACTGAATCAGCATATGGTATTACTATCAAAGCATTACTTTGTGGAGGGGAGATTTATTTATTTTGTTCAAATTAAATGAGTAATTATGCTGATTGGAGAGCACTCTGAGAACACAGACTTCCACTAAGCAAAATATAAATGATCATAATTTTCTTAAAATCTAATTTAGAAGCTTGCGTTCCCCCTAATGACACTACTGATTGATATTTTCAGGCCATACAAAGAGTGTGGAGTGTATAATCTTCTCATTTGATGTGAAAACCCTGGCATCTGGCTCCTGGGACAGAACTGCCATGTTGTGGGATGTGGAGGTAGAGTGTGTTGTGGTAGACCCAGGAGTTTATTGTGTTCAGAGGGAGGGGAGAAGGGGAGAGATACTGGATACATATAAACACGTGACTTTTACACCAGTGCATATGTCTGCATATTAAAAAGCTGTTTTAGGGAAGCTTTGCAATTTCAAAGGGGGGAGGGGAGCTTGTGCCTCCTGTATGTGTTGCATTTGTCAGTGGGTGTGGTACATGTATTAGTACATAAAATATGTATATTCCTATCTTTCAGAATCTGATATTTGATTTTTAGACTGTAAATAAATATATGAAATGTAGACTGGTGTCAAGTAAGAAACTGTATTTGAATACACTATAACAACAACATACTGAATGCTTGTTCATATTTTGTTTCAAAATTATAGGGTTGAAAAGCTTTAAAGAGCTTACTATACACAAAATATTTATTTTTCCCATAGAAAAGGAAACAGATTTTATATTGGCCACAGGTACTACTTAAAATGTATTTATTTATTTTTTATTTATTTATTTATTTATTTATTTTTTTTGCCCTTTGTAATTTTCATATGATTTAGTTTATTTTGTCTTTCAGAAAGGGTTTCCATTACGCATATTTGAAGGACATGAAAACTTAGTGCAATCAGTTGCCATATCATATAAAGGAGAGTGGCTGGTAAGTCTGTTTACTAGTGCTTTGAAGTAAGTTGAGGTAATTATAATACCAGCTTCAACATTCCATTTTTTTTAAAGAATGAATGCATTTGGTTGCAATAGCTTTTACACACTAATTCCATGCTGTATAGAATTAGAATACTGAGAAGCTGGTGGTTAAACAAGTATGTTGGAAACAAAAGGAGGCTTGTAAGTTTGTTAATCTGATTGCAGTCAACAAGGGTCCCCGTGAAGTTGGGTCATACAACACAAGCTGGCCTAACTGCTTCTGAACGACCTCTAAGACTATGGACACTACAGAGTATATAGAACCCATGTATCAGTGTGTTATCTTTCTCTCTAGGCTACAGGTTCATGGGACCACACAGTAAGACTATGGACACTACAGAGTATATAGAACCCATGTATCAGTGTGTTATCTTTCTCTCTAGGCTACAGGTTCATGGGACCACACAGTAAGACTGTGGACACTACAGAGTATATAGAACCCATGTATCAGTGTGTTATCTTTCACTCTAGGCTACAGGTTCATGGGACCATACAGTAAGACTATGGACACTACAGAGTATAGACGGCTCAGATGAAGTCACTGTGCTCACGGGACACAAAGGCAATATACATGGAGTGGCTTTCTCCCGGGAAGGAATGCTGGTATGTACATGTGGTAGTATCTGGGCCCTGTATCTTCATACAGTATATTTTTTTCTATGCTTCTTTTGTACATGCTCCATGAGTCGTGTAAGTCACTGTCCTCTATATCATGTATATGTCAGCTCTCACCATGATTGGGGTGATTATTTTTTGTGTGCAGTCAAATCAAATTTAAAAAAATCTTCCAGAAGCTGAGCAAACACATAAGATAATACCCCCAAGCTGCTCGATGAGACGTGTCATTCTGTTAATCTGCAAGACTCACCGAAGAGTTGGATGAATCTACATAGTATACAATAGTTTCATTGTGAACACACACAAAGACTGAGTATATTTGAAGTATTAACTTACTAGTAGCAATCACTCCTCTCACTGTCTATTTCACCCCAAACAGGCCTCCTGCTCTTGGGACAAAACCATCCGTTTGTGGAACCCCAAAACTGGCAAACTGTTCCATGTGCTGGAAGGACACAGTGGTTGGGTCCAGGCGGTCATCTTCTCGCCTGACAGTTGCTACCTGGCCAGTGTGGCCGATGACGAGACGGTCAGAATTTGGGACGTGGTGACTGGACACTGTGATAAGGTTTTAGAGGTGAGGTATCATGGTATGGTTTATAGTCTTCATTTAAATATCCATATTGCCTTTTAGAGTATTTGAGAAATTCATACTTTAGTGGAAAGTTTTTAGTATGTATGCTATTTTAACATTACAATGATAATTTTTCCTGATTTTCTTATGTGTTTGAACATTCTCATTTACTAACACCATTAAATAATATAAAACTTTTTAAATAAATTATTATTATTGTTATTATTATTTGTGGAGGAGTCAGTTCTGAAAGGACAAAAAGTTAGACTTGTTACATTAATATATTTGAGACCTCTTAAGTGGCAAAGGTGTGTGTGTGTGTGTGTGTGTGTGTGTGTGTGTGTGTGTGTGTGTTACCTGTTTTGACCTTTGCAAATTGACATGGGTTTAAATCTTTTTTATTATTAATTCCAGGGAGAGACAGACACTGCCCAGCACTGTGCCTTTACATCAAGTGGAATATTGGTGGCATCAGGTGCCGCTCAGGTGACAATGACAGCTGCCCCACGAGTGTGGCACAATCTTTCTAATGAGGACACAGCTGATACTGATCACACTACATCTACACATAAAACTCAGGAGACATAAACTGTGACATGGTGTTGACATGATTGTGACATTGAAGACACTACATCACTATATCAACATATAAAACACAGGAGACAAACTGACGTGTTGTTGACAGGATAGTGACATTGTAGGCACCGCTTCTACATCAACATATAAATCACAGGAGACAAATTGACATGTTGTTGACAGGATAGTGACTTTGATGACACTGTCATGACATCAACATGTAAAACACAGGAGACATAGACATAAACTGTGACATATTGTTGACATGATTGTGACATTGTTGACACTAGTGAAGTGTCAACGCAGAAAATATTTGTGACATGGGAAATGGCTTATACTAGTAGATGCTGTGTTCATGCATGTATAAGAGTCCTTTTCTCATTATGAACCTGAAGCAAGTTTTCCTTCAGGAACTTAAGCTTTGAACAGTTACAAATCTACGCATTATTGTTGTGTTTGCAAACTTTACTTTTAATAAAATTGAAGAGAATCAAAGAATATAAAAAGGAACCATCAAATTATCAAGTGAAATTTTACTATTTCTTTTAATTGAAAAATATATGGAGGAAAAAAATGGTAAAATTTTAGATATTTATATAATTTAAGCTTGAGAAATTTATTTGTATGCATTTATTAAAATTATTTTAAAATAAAGTGATAAACACTGCAGTCATAATGGTGTTGTTTTGTGTTATTATTGTAAGCATCTACCTCTATGATTAAAGCAGTCCCAGTATGTCATTACATGGCCTTCATATCTATAACACAGTGTGAACTAATGACGGTTGTTTTCCAACTGCTTCACCAAACTCTTGGCATTAAACAAAATAACATGGCAATTAACGAGTATTCTTACACCCTCTCCCCCATTAAGTTATAATTTTACTTTTCCAAGAAAAGCATAAGAATTAATACTGTCTAGCACTTAATTAGAGAGGAAGGAACTTTGTCACACCCATGCATTAAAAACCCTCTGCAACGGCGCCTTTGCCAACTCTGTACAACCCTGTATAAACAGTACATAACTTATGCTTTAATCGTCATTACTGATATTCGCCAGTCTAACACTCCTTTTAAAACGACAATGACTCAAAAAGTAAAAACTATGTGAACTCAAAAACTAGTGTGTAGACCGTTATTTTGTCAGCGGTTTTGGATATGTTGCGTGTTGGTGATAAAGGGGAAAGTGTCAAAATCGGCCGGGTAATTAATTTTTGCCATGTCAAAGACTAGCGCACATTGTAGGGACATGTCCAATAATACTTTGCGAGTAGGAGAAACTGCTCTTTACCTTAGAAAAATTCATTTTGGCGGGTAAATCCCGTGGAGAAACCGCTCCTGTATATGCAGAGATATTAATGTGGTAGCTGTGCTAATGGATGGTTGAGCCAAATGCGTTACAGAGCACTACACGCTCTTACTCGTTTTACAAAACGTTATGAGATTAATGTTAATAAGAAAAATCATTCTATGGCCTATAGTTCTGCTTGGTTGCCCCTTAAGTAAAGCTATTATGATGTAAGCAAAATCATTCATTTAAGATTTCTCCTCGTGAATCTGATGTTTATGAAATTGAAATGAACATCACATTACATTTAAATATATCAAGACTGATTAAAGGTTGGCTCGTTTTGCATTTTCCATAGACTAGTCTTTTAAATTGTTTTTCGGTTGACTTCATAAAAAAAATACGAGTATTTCTGGATACATGTGACACATGTTGAACCCGTCCGGTTCGTTTGACAGACGTAACATGGTCTCACTAAAAGAGAGGCAACATCTTTGAATCACAAAACAGGAGCAAGTTAACCAAATCCGTTTTCTGGTCTTCCTGGGGGAGAAAAGGCGGTTTTGGAGCGTTAATCAAGTTAAAGGGATAATAATTGTTCGTTTTGGCCAAAAAATGAATTTTCCTGGGGTAAACAACACTTTTCCCATACTTACCAATGGTTAATGAATCTATTTCTACATTCAAAGTTAGTCCCTGGTTAGTCTGTTAATTTGATTGCAATCAGCGAGAGTCCCCGTGGAATTAGTGCGCATAAGCTAAGTCGACAAAATTCATTACGAACAGTCCCTGGACATGTGTGCATTGAGCCCATTCTTGTGTAAGTCTTAAAATTCAGTAACAAATAACAGCTTTATACAGACCCAGTCGCTTGTAGGATAAATTTATTGTATCAACACATTTAAGGCGTCTAATTATTTCGCAGTGCAGGTTGGAAAGTTTTTTTTATTTCACTAATGTATCAATCTTTGACATTTCGTAGAGCAAAAAGTTGCCTCAAATGCGGTTAATTGGCAATATAATGATTCCAAAGAACTAGACCACCCAGACGTCTGTTAAATGTGTACACAGTGTGGCGTATTAAATGTAAAACTTTGAACTACAGTTCAATTAAACTTACAAAAATCAGCAATACTTGTTTTTTGCAATATTTCACTTCAGACCTGTTTCCATCCTTGTTTGATTTTCCACTAATGCGACTGTTGATACCTGTATCTTTAAAAATACTTTTTTTAGGCTCCTCACTCAATCGCCTTTCACTTTAAATTTCTACACATAAATGTTTATACAAGGGAGGCACAAAACTTAAGAGGGAATACAGTAACATGGACCTTTTTTATATCAATACTGCGTCTTCTACGAATGATAGTCACTACTGCGCTGTATCAGTTGAAACTTCTTTGTTTCAGAGTCTCGACTGGCTGGTCTGGCAAGTGACCTTGCTTAAACTGAATCACGCTGGAGTCTCCCAGGGTAAACCAAGGTAGTAAAAGACATTACAATTATTGGATCTGTTTAGCAAAAATTGGCAGCATATTCTTCCTGTGCCTCCCCTGATCAAATTTCCCACTCCAGACAGCTAGAATATTTCTAAACCGGTTATGTTTAACATTGCGTCACCACTTACAACAACGATTCTATCGTTTTTAATTCGCTGCCGGTCGCTCTCTTCATAGGCCAATAAAGCGTAACCAGCACAGGAAAGTGTTTTAAACGTTTTTTTCCTCTGGAGTTCAGGACTGACAAGTCATTTACTTATAGAAACAGTTAGTATGGCGGCCTCACCTAGACCTTGACCGAGCTGAGTCGTACTTGGCCCAGTACAGCTACTCAGATCTCACTGACTTCTATACAGTGGACCAAAAATAATAACGATAACTGTTTTACATCATTTCTCAATAAAACCTAGTACTTATCAAATATAGTTCGGTTTTGTTTCATATATATATATATATATATATATATATATATATATATATATATATATATATATTGGCAATGCTTGAATAATTGCTTAGTTCTTATTAACATATGCCTCAACAGGATGTGCCCAAGGTGCGCCTTACAAAGAAACCGCACTCTTCATTATAATATGCCACCAGAGAAAGATACAATGTAGATATCTTCGACAGCTCTACGTATCAAATAACCGAAAAAGAAAATATCAAATAGGAAATAAATTAATAAAGAATATACTGGTAATTCGTTCCTGGTGGTTGTTCAGTTTCAAAGGTACTGGTGCTGGTGATTGTAGCCTACTGTAGGCCTACAGAAAAAAACAAAACGAATGTCACCCTCATATTTTCTTCGATTGTTTATTTGAAAACAACATTTATCAACAATATGAATTCGAGCAATAACTGATGTATTCACAAAGAAGTTACACACCACATGTAAAAAATACCCGGCTGGAATACCACTTAATAATAATGAGCATCTGGGGGCAAAATATAAAGACTAAGTACCTTACATTATTATGAGAAATGACAAAATATTGCTTTAAACCAGTACTAATAACCGGGCCCAAACAAACATGGCCAAGTCCATTGATTTCAAAGATTTACAATAACTTCAACGTCCCCATAATATCTGCGTATCCAACGGCAACTTTTATGTAATTTGTAAGAAAAAAAAACAAACGCAAAATGCTCTGTAGATATAAACCACGATAACAAAATTAATATGGACTGTTACCTGTGCGGCACATGTAATTAAAATACTGCACAACACTATAACCAACATACCAAAATTTATGGATATGGAGTTACAATGCACTCAATAACGTCGGCCAACTTTATATATTGTCATATACGCTTTGGTTCGGTCGTTACAATCAGTGGCAGTTTCTGAAAAATATATACCACACCAATATTCCCCTCTTGAAATTAGAATTTTGACTAGCTAAATCATAGTTCTCAACCGTACCAAGGGGCACTGTTGGCTCTCCAAATTACCAAAAAATTTTCCGGGCCCTTGAGCAGGCCCCAAACCCCACACCAAGGGGGCAATGGTTGTACCAAGACATGATTGAGTGAAACAATCTGAAGTGACTAAAATACCTTACTCCGAAGGAAATTTTGTCAATTACTAAATTTACTAAATGATTTTACCGAACACGGTGATCATCTTTTGCTGGTTTTAAGTTTAAACGTGGGATAATGAAGTGTTACAACGTTACTGAATGAAACAGTTATGAATTAACTTAAAATGCATACACCGTACACGAGAACCAACAGGTATAATGAATTTCTGAATGAGATGAGCAAAAATCTATTTATACTTGTTTCGGTATATGTAACACCGATGCATCAAAAATTGCAGTATTAAACTGGGAATACCTATCCAACTAAATATCTTCTAATATGGCTGAATGATTCAAGTACACGCAAGTGCGGTGATTTAACAACTACCTACAATAAGCACTTACACATAACACATTCCTCACCTTTGGCAATTTCACAAAAATAAATAATGATATTATCTATATATACAGCAAGGTCTATCAACAATATACTCAATATAAATAATTCACCAAGTCCTTAACGTTAATGCTGTTTGACATGTTCCTCAATGCTTTAATAAAAAGTTGGCCAACCAGTACATTGGAATGCTTCAAAAAGTCTACGGAAAATTGGAGAGGCCAGAACAAAAAAAGGAAGCAATCTGGAACTGAAAACAAGCCCTAGTGTTATCCTTTAACTAAAAGAACTTTTGAGATGAAAAGCAAATTGTGAAGCACCAGACAATGTCTACTGTTTTAAAATCTTTCCAATAAACCATCTACAATCCGCAAATTTCCTCTGCCATGTTAATATAAATTTGCTAAAAAAAAAAGCTCCTATTTACAAAATAATGATTGAAAGCCACTTGGTGTGACCGACGTTATAAAACAGAGGGTCTTGAGAATCCGCCCTTCGTTTCATTCATACAGGTTAGAGTTATCGTGACGTCAGTGTGTCAAATTTAGAACGGGACTTGCCTGTACAAATCCATAGGAACCGGGCCCTATACGACAGGGGACTCTCCCGTACGAGACACCGGGATAAAAATGACATTCAAGTCATGCTATCATAATAACAGTGACCTAATGATTAGGCGAGTTTTGCCATAATTCACGATAAAGAAATAAGGGAGGGATATTAGTGACAGAGTCCAATAAATCGTGTCTGATTATTAGTTTTGGTTTGAATTACAAATTCGATTTTGAAAACGGTCGGTAATTCTGCTTCAAAATCCAATATTAGTTGCTCTTTTTCCTCAAGAATCTGATCATATTAGTAGACAGAAAATGCTGGCAAATGTACGGAACAACATAAGAAAAATACCTTTTCTGTCACACGTATCAAGATGCATTGGCATTTTTATCATACGTAACGAAAAAATATTTTTAAAAAGTCTTCCCGAATTCCCTTGAGCCACCATTGGAGAGGACAAGTTGGCAGTCGCAGAACAGGTTTACAACTGTTAGGATTCAATAAGATCAGATTTTATAAAACGCAAGCCATGGCAATCAACGTCTAGACCACGCTTCAAGGCCCACGTTTTCCAATAATTAGCCCACCCTATCAAAATTGACCGCAAAGGTCAAAGGTTACAGGGGCGGCTCACAGCGTGGATGTATGCAAGCGTTTGCTTCCTGAAGTTAGTTGTCAAAACCGTGCTGAACGCGGTCTGCGACTTATTAAAGCTACAATCCTTTGCATATAATAAATTCTTGCATTTTTCTCTTGATCAAACTTGCTTTTCTTCTCTTTGTCCTTGGATACATGAGGTATTCAGTTTCACATATAGAAAGTAACAGTATTCTTATCGTTCTCATTTAATCATAACCATCACGCTAAAGAAAGTTGAGCGTTGCGGCATCGGGTTCTGCGTGCTGTATTCTTTGTCGACAGCCTTTATCTTTCCAGAATATCGTCAACCTTTACAATGCTCCTAGGCGTCTAGATAATACCTGTATCTGTGTCCAGGTCCTCGTGAAACTTGCCAAGATACAGGAGTATCATTTTAATGTACAGAAGCATTCATGTCATAGCGTCTGACCCTTTTCTTCGACTTGGTTGGCGGCAAAACAATGTTACGTCTCACAGTTCACTCAAACCGCAGTGCTTTACAGTACCACAGACAAACAAACAAGTGTGATAGGAAAGACTATTGTTCTTCCAAGTGCATTAGTGTTCCACTACAGCGCGGTCTTCCTGCCGAGTGGATATAGTGTTCCTCCTTCAAAGTAACGCCTCCAAATTACCAACCTGGACAGTAGTGCTACCGTGGGACGGTTGGCGTCAACAACCATGTCTTATATCAGCAAACCTAAAATTAAATAGAGGTAATTTAACATATGAAAGAAAAATTGAGCTTAATTGAAGATTATACAATTCATAACTTGTACACAACGGTTTAGTTAGATGTCCCAAAGAAACACCCGTGCTCTCAAGCCACATCTGTCGATCGTCACTCGATGTTTAAGGCATTCCTCTGTACAGAACAATAAAACAATTTGGCAATAAATGAACAAAATTGTTCATTAGCTTAATTTCTGAATATAAATCATAACTATTTGGCACAAGTTGGAAATATGGCAATACATTGGTTGACACAGAATCACTTTCTCTGGGCGAGCCGTGATTCCTGTAAACGACATTGAAATTATGAGAGAAGAGCCTTTTGGTCTACATAAAAAAACTTCCAAACATTTGAGTGCTATTTAGAGAATTTTTTATACAACAAAGAAGAATCTTTGGTTTTTAATTTTTTTTAATGAAGATCATCCATTACAGCATAAAAACGAGACTGTCGGCACTCTGTGGCATCATACGGGACCAAAAAACCCTGCAAGAAACGGTATAGGGCAGAGGTTTGTGCAGAATGCGACTAATGATCTGCGTCATAGCTACGTGTCTTGGTCGCTAAACCATTGGAGAGAAAACAACGTGAACGAAGAAGTAATAATAATAATAATAATTAAATTAGAAAATCATTTAATCAATTTATTAATAATAAAAAAGATTTTTAAAATACAAAAAATTGAAGTAATGAGAAAGCGTCAGTGTAGGCATAAAACACACTCGTTTTCGGTTGTGGATGTCAAGTAAAGTAGTTGCAAAGGAACGTTGACGGGTTGCGCTTTTGTCAACGGGTCCAAACGTTTACGTTTCTTAATACGGTCCAGATATTGATTTTCTGGCCTAAGAGAGCAATAAGGCAGAAGTCCATCACTCGAAGTTTCTGTCCCCGACATTCCTTCTAAATAAAAGCCGCATTTCCCTGTCAGTATATGGAGATTTCTAGCACAAATCAGACGAAATACAGGCATTAAGGTTAGAGACCTGACCTGCACCGGTGCGGAGTGAAATATAAATTTATTTTATCTCCAACTACTCGGTACACATTGAATTACCCTTGAAGACAAGCTGTTAAGACTGGGAGATGAGCTGTGAGAACAACTAACTCACAAGAACACGACGTTTGCTATGGCGGGTACCCGATAATGCATCTCGAACGGTTCTCCAGAGCCGTTTTTTAAATTACTCTCAACCCAGCCGAACGCACATTTGTGCATATATCATCGTGGGACTAATGCAATAAAAATGATTAAAACTTCCTCGTGAAAATGGGATTGCTTCTTTCTGCGGAGGCAATCTTAAACACTCTCTTCTTATTACAGATAGAGCGAATGACCCGCCGGCCACATTTGTGGGGAAACAATTCAATTAAGACTCATCGGATATTGTTTATATATGTAGAAACACTCCAAGGTTATTTTCTCTTGCCTCTTTAACCTAATAATTATCGACCTTCCGCGCCATATAATACGAAAAATTGATTTCAATTATTAACTGAAAACGAAATGAAAATACCCAGAACATAGACCACTGACACGGCAAGCCCCTGCGATTACTTTGCAAAACTACTATGGGATCGTGAAAAAAGCACTCTTTCACGTGATCGGACGTATTATATTGAAGGAAGGAGAAACAGGGCTCGTTTTAAGAAGCAGAGGCCATTTTGTTATAGGGTCTCAGTGTGCTGCCTCGGACGTCGTCAAATACCTGTGTTTATGCTGCCCTCTACCAGGGCCACAGATTAATTTTTCACTTGATATTCACAGATGTGTCTCGAGATGAATGAAAAGTCAGAGGAAAAGTCCCGAATTAAATATGATGGTATAGAGGGTATATCTATGCTGACTTGTTTCAAACGATAAAACTGAAGTCGCACCCTGTTGAAAAAAGACTGCAGTCCAGTCCTGCATAACGTCAAAGCCACGTGATGAAATATGTAAACATTATACATTCTTTTATCAAACTATCTTTACATGTTCATCCTTTTTTTCACAGACTGATATTAACAACGGATTAAAACAAATATGTGTTTCAGAAAGATAACCGAAACGACTTATTCGCTGAAATAATTGTTTTTCCGTTGTGATGACGAAAAAAAGTTAACGCGTATCAAATTATGGTCAATAACAAATTGGATACTTCTTGATGTATTTGTTAATCAATGTCATAGGTAGTGTGGTTATCTAATGAGATATTCTGTTCATCTTATTAAAGGCTTCATTTCAAACCATGGCACTATGCGGTTTAAGATTTCACAAAACAGAAAATTTCCATAAAAAGAATTTTTCCGTTTGTGAACAACATTGGCTTAACCTTTTGCGCACATTTGATATTTAATTTCTGCACGAAGAAAAACACTTATTTGGTGTAGTTTGATATAAGATATGCTCATTGCAGACCGGCACATTATAAATATAGCACCAATCCCCGTCAGTAGTTCTTTTCTAATAAAAGCGAGCATGCGATGAAACGTTAAACTGATTATAAAACGAAACCGCCTGGGTTTCACTTGTCGCGAGTCAGCAGGTGTAGAACAAAGAGAAATGATTCCAAAAGACAGGAACGTTTTGTGACTTCGGCTGATTGGATTTCTTCTTGTACCGTATCACGATCGAACCTGCATGACAGCAAGAAAATTACTGAAATCTTTTTGCAATCCTTCAGTGAAATTCTAGCATGCCGATTGTATAAATGTGCTAATTATTTCATAACAAAATACTCAAATGTCACTTGCATGCAAGACGATTGTAATAACTCTGGTTGTCAGTATAAATTTATGCTTGCTCCAAGAAACCCATGCACAGAATTCTACGACCATGATAATTACCGACACTGTACACAAGTGGTGTTGCTTTATTCAGTTTTTTTTTCTGTGTTTGGGAATTGCAATACAAAATTTGCCCCGAGAAACAAATATGGCAGAGCCCGACATTAAATTCACGCAAAATTTGCCGCAATATCTATACTGCAGGATCTTTTAACACCATAATTAGAATCGGGGCACGTTTTGAATTTAAGAAATGTACAAGAAAATACCTCAAAACATACCTTATGATTGGCTCTCATATTCGTGGGCTGCGCGTGCGCGTGTCCTCCTTTGACGAAGTTTGGATAGTCGTGTTCACAGATAAGGTTCCCGTTGATCAGGCCGAACTTGTCGCCACGCACCAGTTGAGTGCCACACTGGACGCAAGCAAAGCATTTGAGGTGATAAGTATTGTTTTGAGCCTTCATTACCAGTTCACTGGCGGGGATGGGCTGGGCACAGGCTGCGCATGTACCACCAGCGCCAAATAACCTAGAAAAACCGACAAAATTTAAGAATTTTAAACAAATGAACACTTGGCATGCGTTTCTTTTTTTAAGCAATATACTAAAGATGCAGAATGTATAACAGATGCACAAAGAAATGTGTCTATTTGTATATATACAGTTACTGGTGAACTTAATTATGTACACACTATAAGGGTACATATTAAGAGTCCATTCTAAGGAGAAACTACTAAGTTAATACATATTATGTTATAAAATGTTTTATATTTTCATTAACGCACCGTGGATAACACATTCATGTTTTGCTTTTGTTCTGTTTCGTTGAACATTTTTGTAACTCAACTTGGACAAAGAGCAACAGATGCTGCTGCTGATTCTTCTAGAATAACAAACGTACTTTCCATAACTCTACAGAGAGTTAAAACAAAGCGCTCCTCTGCGTTTCTTTGGGGTAATTGGAGATAATTAAGACTCATGGCAATAAACTAAATGGCAGATAGCTTTTAGTGATCAGCGTCAGCAATGAAGCCGAACCAGTGCCGTCAGTGGGAAGGAACGCTGCCAAACCGGCCCAGAAGTTGGGACCTACGTGTTGCACTTACCGATATAAGTCCGCTGAGAGACGGAAATTATCTGACAATTTGCGCCTCTAACACACTCCTAGCTCGCGAAACAAGAGTTGAAAAAAGTGGCGATTCGAACGATAGGTGAATTTTTTTTTTAACCGAACTTCGAAAAGTACTTGGGCAAACTGTTTCGCCTATTTAGTTTTTCTTTAGTTTTGGTTCTTGTTTTGCAAGTATTGAAATCGTGAGTGAGAAGAAGCGTAATTATTCAATAGTCTTTCCAATCTCACATTTCTCAAATTTTCATAAGATTAACAAGAAACATTTGTGCTGCGGATTGTTACATAGATGTGCATTCGGTGGGCAAATAAATCTGTACAACGAAACAAACAGATTTTACAAAATGTACATAGTAAAACTCATATTGCCAATTTTGGAAATACAACGAAAGAAACAAGTCATTTTTGGAGTACAAAGTTATCGTCTGATAGTGTAATCTCCTAGCCAGAGCCCAATTAAGTGTCTCTGTCATTAAAATAACATGTCACAGCCACAGTGGGCGCAAATATTTGCCAATTAACCAGAGTGTAATTCCATCTTAATTAAGTTAAAGATATTGGCATCGACAGTCAATATATAACAGTTATTAACTCCACGCATGATAACGAGAGTGGTTTAAACCACGAAAGCAGTGAACTGTTTATCGGGTTCTGGAGTAATATGCCGATGCCTCTGCGGCAGCAGCTTTATTGTAAATGCTTCTAAATACTTTTTAGTAAATCTACTGGTGCTCTAGCATAGAGACTCATGAGAGGCAACTATCAAAATATGAGAATGCCCCATATATGAACAGTTTTCCCAAAATTATTATCTGAAATTATGCCAAAAACACTTTTAATGGTAGTGTTTATTTGTATAACCGACAAATTAAAAAGGGATTTTCTTTCCTTTTTTGCTCAGGCTTTAAATTAGATCTGGCAAATATATTGGCATTATAGAGGCGTTCTACCAGTTCACCTCTTCAATTTTAGCGTAAAGAAACATTAACCTCTCTTTTCCCTAATTATTGGACTTAACAGTGCGTGAGATTGCCTCATATTTTCTCGAAAGATAGAGCCAGCAATTTCGCTCATCACTCTAACTCTTCGGCTCTGATACCTTTGTATAAATAAACGCCGCCCTGTCACACACGCAGTGCTAGTGGGGCTAGTGTGCTGAACATAAAGTGGCGTTCACTCTTTTTACCTTCCACTTGAACAGGGAGGACGTGCACCGCGTTCAAAGACGTTATAATAAAAAACACCTAAACACCTCAAGTTCTAAGTGAAGGAAAAAAGGACGCTTGATTCTTCCGTTCTTAGGTTAGCCAGGGAGGTTTGAAGGGTTCTAAAGAACCCCCCCCCTTTTTGCCTGCAAAAGGTCCCCTCTGAGTAAAATTTTATTTAGGTACATGACGGTGTCATGGTAAATGGTCCACTTTTTTTTTCAGAAAAAGAACCCCCCCTTTTAAATTGCTGGCTACGGGACTGGTTCTTGATTGCATGTTTCTCCCCACCCAAACGGCAAGTACAAGTGGGGTCGATTGCATGAAAATGCCCCCAAGTTGAACCTGCAGTGATTTTTGTGAAAACCGTTCTGAACGCAACTCTCGTGTCTTCATCAGTAACAAGAAGAGTCCGTAAAATATTACGGCTACTGGGTCTTGATTATTTTGAAGTGAACTCCAATAGCGAAAAGAGTATGGAAATTACGTCATTCTCACTGGTGTCGAGGGTGGATTTATTTCACACGCTCCGTGGGAACTGTCGCACGCATCATGAGCTGACGTCCCTTCGGCGAACAATTTATTGTTTTAGAGCAGGCAATAATTTGCTGGGCCTTCTTTTATCAGAAATAAACAACGGGTCGACTTGATGTGAGTTGAGAGAGAGAGCGAGAGAATGGATGGACAAAAAGATTTCACATATATGAGCCTTATTTCGTCTCGTCTTCTTCGTATTTTTTTTTCTCTATCAAATTTCTCCATCATCGTGCCGGAGGCAAGCTAGTATCCTTGAAACATAAAATAAATGGAAAAGCGTCACATGGGGGTCGAACAGGTTAAGTACCTAATGTAACACTAGGTAACGTGGAGCAGAATACGAACACAGCGCGTAAACAGCATTTAACCATTGTTTACACATCAGACGGGAAACTAATTGGGTTCATTATCGGAAAATTAAATTTGAGCCTGGTTAATGCGATAGCGCCTTCAGAGCCGATTTGTATAACTTTTATGCAGGACCTGAATCGCTGTCTATCAGGCGGCTCGTTATTTCAGTACACTCCTGCCCACAATCTATGTCCTTATCTTACGCCTTCGTGCCCGGCATAGGAATGACGATAATTAATAATGTTTTATACAGAGCTCTGTGCCAGGTCCTGATATTAGCTGCCCCTTACGACGATTACAAATGTCAGTTTCCCATTCTATAGACAGGTGATAATATTAATTTCTTCCGATGGGACTTATCACTGTCTTATTGGCAACACACGGCGAATTAATGAAGAAATACTCCCAAATTTCTAAGGCTTAATTCAAGTCAATCTTGGTAGTTTGTAGATTTAATTTATCGTAAGAGTCAGTATCAAAGGTATTAGAGCGGAAGAGAGGGTTCAGTTAATTAAGTCAACGCCGTACGCAGAAAGTTACTTCCACACTAAGAAAAAATGATTTGACGGGTCCTAGCGTCAAGGCCCCTAGCTACACAGCATCGTGTGACATCCCCTCCCCTCCCCCTCTCTCTCTCTCTCTCTCTCTCTCTCTCTCTCTCTCTCTCTGCCACACACACACACACACACACACACACACACACACACATGCACACTGCACGAGGCCACCATTATTCGGAAGATCTACAAGCGCACTTTGAGAAAGGCAGAACAAATTACACCCCTTTCGTCCAAATCAAGATCAGTTACTATGTCAATTAGTAAGTGATTATTTTATTGTCTCCTCCTCGCAAATTGTGTCTAGCCTGCTGTCACAAGAACGATCGATAATAATTTTGTCGTCTGTTTGTACGATAAGCTGGACGAGCAAAGGAGAGTCTCCAATTTTAACAGAGGCACTTTATTATGTTTCATGAAGTACACTAGCAAATAGATATGGCCTTCCTGTTGTCTCCACGCATAGATTGATAATGATGACTTCAGTGTCACTGTCTGATGAGTGGAACAAAGTTTCATCGCCGTAGCTTTCTCTTGCTAAATAATGGAATGTGTTAGGAATCCGACCTCAGAATTCTTAGCCCTAATTTACTCGTCAGCAAAGATAGGCTCTTAATCCCAATTTAATCCACCTGGCGTTCGCATCGTGCTATTAAGTGGCAAGTCAAGCACTCCTTTAATTGGTTTGATCAAATTGATGCAATTGTCTCCTTTATCAGAAGTGATTGAAATTCGCAGAGGCGTCTGATGAGACGTTGGTCTTAAAAAGCCAACGAAAACATGGAACGCTTTCTGATCAACGATACATGCTCTACACAGACTAGGGCTTTTCTCACTCTTATTTTCCTGTACAGATTTGAGGATTTTTTATATAAGACGGATGAAAAATGATATGCATAATCGTTCCCTATTTATATTATTTCATTTATTTATTTATTTATTATATTTTTTGCAGCCAAAGAAGAGATTATTCTAGAACAGATTAACAACCTTTCTCAATTCTTGTCTCACTTCCTGCGCCACTCACGTGGTTATAAATGATCCGTTAAATATCGTTTTGTGAGAAATAACAAAGAGGACGGTTAATTAGGTGAGTTAAAAAGAAAGTCTGAAACTGAAAATAAAAGTTATCTTTGTTGGTTTGTGTTGTTTGTATTGTTTATTTTTCCAGGAAGGGTCAAGAGGCATCATTCCAATAGCAACGTACAACGATACTCTTATTAAAAATAACAGGAGAAAAAATATCCTGGACACCTATCTAATAAAAAATAAATAAAACTAAATGATTTCCGATTTAAGTTCAATTCCACGAGCAAGCTGTAAAACGCCCAAGCAAATCAAATTAGCCCCAAACAAACACGGACACGTAGACATATGCAGCGTTCTCCAGGCTTATAAGGAAGAGTTTTTTATGAAGCATTAATCTTCCCTATTGTTAGCATTGGCAGAGTAATTTCCCCCACTTTTCTCGGGCATAGAATGGGTTTTATTACAAGTTCAGCTTTCCCTTGATAAAAAATATATCATGTTTATATCGCCTTTTCTGGTGCTGATTTATGCAAAGAAAATCTGTGTAGGCTACATTCACACTATTCTCAAATGGACCGCATCTTAAGCGATACAAATGGCGTAGGGTTTGCCTCGATACCTAAGATCGCGCTTTATCCGGGTATGTTGGGCGTTACCCTGGTCGACATTCTATAAACGCACTGGCTTTTTAAAAAGCGACAAATCAGTAAAATAATAAATCGAAGAAAGAGCCAGGCTATTTTTGTAAAAAAAAGGGTCTACTGCTATAGCAATTATAACCCATGTGAATATGATAGCAAGATACATGACCTGTCATGTGAAGAAGATGATACTCTGTGACAACGGAGACGAACAATGGCAGCAGTACATATATATACACTATAAATAAACTCGAGGCCTGGAATGAACCCGTCACTAGAAAAAATCTAACTGTATACCTTCCGTCAGAGCTGACTGTAACTTTTATAACTATGCTCACAGTGGACCATTTTCACACGAAAATTCGAAATGTAATGAAAACAATATCAAAAATGTAAAACAAAATAGGTTGATGCTCGCGACGCATCAGCACAAAAATTGTTGCTGACATAAATTAAAAATTAAAAAAAAAGAAAAAAACAGAACAAAACTTTCAAGCGCTTCATAAAAGCATCTAGCCCTGGAAGCTGTATCTTGTATTACCCCGCTCACCCTGTCGTACAACGTGTTTTCCTATGAAGGGGAATGGGCCTAATTGAAACTACACAGACCGCTCTGCTCCCTGTGCAAAATCAATGTTCGGGGCTGCATTATGAAAGCTATTAAATGTTCAATTATTTTATTGCTTTCTTTGAGATTCAATTTGCGATAGACAACGGCCTGTGAATCAATAGCTACCACTCTAGAATATAATATATCTACAGGCAAAACTCGCTGCGATATGTCTTCATAATCTAACTTAATGCACTTAATATAGATTGAATTCGTACTTGAGAATGGAATGAGAATTTCTGTAAAGAAACCCAGTCATTTGGAAAGGGAAATTAGTTGCATCTGTTAAATCGAAAGCACTGGTTGTCAAAAGCGAGTTTGATTCAAAATTGATATGCACTGTCGCAAAAGTGGCTGTACAAAGCGCACTTGTGTGTGCACTGTCTGAACAGTGTGCCTTCAAAGCGTGCTTCTGCATCCACTGTGGCCAAAGTAGCCTTACAAAGCGCGATTCTCAATACGATTTAAATGCAGTTCTGTTTAAATTACCATAGGGATAGCATGAGTACATTAATGGAGAGTTATGTGATCTACAACACACAGAAAACATCAATTTGAAGTCGGATATAGTGCCACAATCAGGATTTCCCGTGTTATTTTGAGCATTGACAAATGAGATCTCCAGTATATGGTGGAGCTTCACTGCAGCCCGTGCTACGGCCGTGTTGTGTATTCAACCCTCAACTCGAGTATTGGATCTCATTGCAAAGCGGAAATTGAGTTTAATGAAGTCCACTTTTGTGCAAACATCTCACTAGTGATGCGGGCGACATCGAGACAAGGCCACTATTTTTGGGGGTAGAGGATTGAATGTATAAAACATTAATGGGCAGATAGACGCATTTTTCAAAATGTCATTTAGCTTTTTCAATGTGGTTCAGTTATGTGATCCCACAGCAGTGCTTCAGATGACTTTTCAAATGCTCTGCACCGTAGTCTTAATCCGATGGCCTGGACTGCGGACTCGATCACAGGGTCTGTAAGAGGCTGTGGCATGGGGTGGGGGGGTGGGGTAACACAGTGTTGATTCTATGGTTTAAGTAGCGTTTTATTTCTACTGTGATGCCTTTTTCAAACCTGATGAATACTACTACTCTCTGATCACAGGGGGTGCCAGTAGTCTGTTATAAAATTACTGCTAATAGTTTAAATTTGTACACTATTTTAGGATACCGGTATCAGAGGGTTGATGAAGACTGCCTATGAAAGTAGCGCCGTTTCGCAGGTCATACCTGGAGTAACATATCCGCCTCTATGTCAAGTTTGCCTGAGATTTAAAAAAAAACTCGGCAAATGAAAATAAAATTGGACAATTCTAAGGACGTGGGCGATATTAAAAATGCAATTAAAAAAATTCCTGGAAAAGTTGGCAAATATGTGGTGAAACATACACGGTCACATATAAAATTAATATTTGATCCAGCGGCAACGCATCCTTTGTTTCTTTCTAGTGTGATGTGCTGACAATCGATTATATAATAAAAGGCACTTAAGACTTAACTTGAGCTTAAAATAAAATTTCAATTCATTAACTTAAAAGACTTTTAAACGTGTATACAAGGGGAAGTGAATCACGCCACATGCTTGCTAGAAATGGATTATAATCACGTTTGAAATCATTTTAGTTTCATACAAAGTGTCGACTCTATTAGTCCTACACGTATTTACTATATCCAGTCACAGTAACCTGATTATGAACGTCATTATCAGGCTCTCAAATCTTCAATTTCTTTGCAACTTATGAAACCAAATGCTTTAAACATGGCGTATTTAATTCACATAGTGTTAATGAAGCGAAAAACGTGCTTTCCTTAGCTACCAAACACCGTTTTTGTTTCTTCAATAAGTCATCAACATAGTCTGCGTCATTCACTGCTTAAATAAAACTATTTCCGTGGTTATAGCTGATACTTAGGTTAGAACGGAGTATCACATCTACACAGTGTTTAAATGTTACGGCGATATGATGGATTAGGTTAATATGAAATAGAGTAAATGGAGTAAATTTTCAATTAAACATCTCACATGACGTGGTTTCGTTTTGTTTGTAAAATTTAATTTCACTTTATGCTTGAAATTGTGAATTTCACATTTTAAATCAATCCATGCAGTACAATTTCAATTTAATGACTCGTTTAGTTTGCCTTTGGCCAATTTTTCTGTGATTTACATTATTTTCTAGAATTACACCATTTTAATAAAAACTCTTAAATAATTTCAGTACCCTTCTGACCCCACCCTTACACACACACACGCGCGCGCGCGCGCGAGCACACACACACACACACACACACACAGGAGAGAGAGAGAGAGTATACATGAGGGTATACATGAGGTATATTTCTTCAGAATTTTAACCATTTTAACGTCCCTGATCGTTACAACATGAAACGAAAGGGAGAATATAAACTGGACGAATGCAGAGATAATGATGGTTGAATCTATCCTGGATGGTCAACTGAGATGTTGACGAGATGCAGTACACGCAATGAGCTTCAAATTCAATGCGATCAGATAGACTATGTGCAATTGGAGAACTCTACACCGAGAGTTTACATTAAAACCGGCTCTCACCTGGAGGAACATGTCAACCTTACAAATGTGTATTGAATATGTGCACTATATGCTACCGTGTTTATCATAAATTAACTTACAACTGTGGCAAGTACACCGCAATTGACAGAATAATTACAACAACAACAACAATGACAACAAAATCCCCTACCTGATATAGTCGTTTTTACACAGAATCATCCCAGCCTTCGCGAAGCAAGACGTTCCAATCTCTCCGAGATGCGCTTGGCAACACGAGCACTTAAGGCAGCCCAAGTGCCAGTACCTGTCCAGCGCGTGAAGCAAGAACTTGTCCTCAATCCTGGCGCCACAGCCAGCGCATGCCTTGCTGCTCCCGGAACCCTCCATGCTTAGTTCTACGCTGCTACTGTTACTGCTAGCCTGGCCTAGACTGCTGAGGAAGCTGTTGTCAAGCGTGCTGGTTGTGGTCTGTACTTCCGCCGGCGAAGGTCTGCTACCGTTGCTGTTGTTGCTGACAATGCTGCTGCTGCTATTGGTGCTACCTCTACCAATACCGCCGCTGCCGTTTATAGCTGGAAAGAAGGCAGGAAGGAGGTTAAAATTTAAGGCATCTCGGGAAGTCTCCTGATAGAATATACACAGGTCTTAATTTGCAGGCCTCTCTCTCCACCTTATCAGGCGCAGACTCTTTGCCTATCTCTGGCAGTAGTATAGTACTCCTGTTTGACAAACTGACTAACAGCAGCGACGACGTCTGAAAGCAGTCGTAGAGACCGAGGATTCGATTAATTGCCCCAGATCGATAGGCACGCGAGATCTAACAATTAAACCCGTAAACAGACCTCTTTTTGGCTCGCTGCGCTTTCACAGCGTCTCTGAGGAGAAGGTTCGCTGCGGTGTCGTCTCGACATTCCCAGGTCGCGTTCTACGACATCTTTCACTTTGGCTTCCTGTTTTGTCATCATTAAACAGGTTATTAATAATTTACCGTGACATTAAAAATTAACTTGTTGCATCCGTTTGACTTTGCAGTGAAAATATTCTAATGTAACTTGTGCAATATTATCTTCAATATGTTGTGCAGGCCGCTCCACGCCTCTTTTGAGGCATCATATCAGATCACAAACATACTAAACTCCCCATATATGATAGGTAAATAAGTGAACTGAAAACGTTATCACTTTGCTCGTCATAGTTTGGGAAAATTTTAATTTTGTATTACAAACAACACGGTTTATTGTTACGGTCGTGGTAGGAGATAAAAATGAGCCGAGGCACCTACATGTAGTTTGGGAGTAGTTTCACTGTGCTTTCTGCGCAAAAATCCAGCTTCATTTTCTAAATCTTACGTGTATTTTGGTAAAGGTGAACGCAGAAGACTCGACTACTGGTCAATCCACTCATAATTTAACGGGGTTAATTAAGAAACTTGATCGAAATCAAGTGCAAATAGCCAGTTTATCACTTCAGGATTTGACAAAAACGAGTGGGTTGGTGTCCGTGAAAGGGATTTAGAAAAATTCACACGCTTGTCATCTGGCTTTTTTAATTAACAACGGAAGGCGATGAGACCACATATCCTAACGTCTTGAAAATTGCAACCAAGCCCACGCTTATCTTATCCCTTTCAGTCGCGCTAATATATATGAATATATTTTGTTCACTTCGATCGGAAGCAGACTATCATGTTAAATTACGCCACCTAGCCCGCGAATTCGGAGTTAAATATTCGTCTAGTCCCATTAGTTTGCAGAAGCTTGTTTGCAGGTATTTGAACCCAACATTTAGAAAAAAAAAGGGCAAAGAAAACCAACTCTAACCTAATCGATCGAAACAGTCAACACTTCCTTGTTATAAAAAGTCAGTATATTCTTTGTCTTTCGTTCGTTAGTTTTATTTGCTTTCAAATGACTATGCGCCTCGTGTGTTCTGTGCGCATCATTACCCGAGCATAATTATCAGCAGCGAGCCAAGCAAGGTCGGGGCTCGCTGAACTGATCACAGCAGCGCTGACATAAATGAGCAGAATCTAAGGGCCAAAAACTAGCGTCACGAAATTCTGGGCACGCAACTCTGTGTACTACATATGCCTCTCGACTGAGGAAATGACCTATTGGTCTAACAATCTGCGAGTGCATTATTATTATTCATCTCCCGCATGTAAAATAAATGGAGCTGGAACAGATTGTTCATCACGGTGGATCAGTATGTATCTACACCAGCCTAATCATCGTGATAGTCAAAACAGCTCTACATACATACATAACACAGGGTTGTAAAAATCGTGTTGGAGTTCCCTTGCATTACAGTGATTATTTGCCGATAAGAGGTCGTGACGAGGCTTATCTGGTGCTATCGTCCAACCATGACAAATTACACTAATAATATGTTTGAGAGAGAGAGAGAGAGAGAGAAAGAGAGAGAGAGAGAGAGAGTTTTCCTAGCCTCTTGGAGGGCAATTTTATGCACAGGAGGTCTATCCAGACAATGCCCATGTATAATGTACCCTTAACGTATCTTCAGGCTACCATAAATCTTCTTTATCAACAACAACCCCTTCCACTTACTGTCCAGACTCTCTTCCCCACTGCCTGTGCCCTCCATCCTCGAATTCCTCGTACACAGGAGATTCTCAGCTCCGTTGTCTTATTACCACGTATAGACTGTACCCGCACCCCTTTGTCATACGCAGTGATACTAAATCAACTCTCGACTGTTACAGGAGACCCGCTTGGCAATGAAATACTGATGAAATAGAAGTACAGGCAATAGAAGTTTATCACTGTCCCTGTCACGCACCCTTAAGGGCTGGGAGCTCATCAGCATCTGACTAACATGTGTCGGAGGTAAAATAGGCCAGCGTCGCAATCTGCGGCGTTGCACGGTGCGGTGCACGTCGGGCCGGCGACTAGCGCCCGCGTTGGTCAAAATCAGGCCTTGACCACCTGGACCTGCTTATGGTGATAAGATTAAGTTTCATATCATTTGTTTATCGTGTATATCGGATCATATTCTGCATTAGTAAAATTGAGATAAAGAAATCGTTTTGTTGCAATTTCATTAATGGAATCATTTGCAAAATTATTCAGATTTGATATAGTGGTTCGTTACGTAAGTGTGCACAATACATTTTGATAAATCCTCGATTATAAACGTTGCTTTCGTTTTTCAATTTCCATGATTAATAAAAATTTACGCAACGTGATTCGTGAACAATTTAACCCTCATGAAATGACCGAACCGTGCAAAGTAGTTATTTAGTTTGAAATCTGGGTGAATTAAATCATGACATGCAAGCTACAATAGCAGCGTGCAGAGTTAGAGTCTTTTGGGTGAGCAAGACGCATGGGTTCACGCCTTGGGAAACTCATATTCAAAGAGGAGGAAATGAGGAATAAAAAGTGTACCAAAATTATGTTGCCACACACAGAACCTTGGGTTGGAGAGGTGAGAGTGGGGGGGGGGGGGTGCAGGGTCTGGGGATTGCTCCCTCCTTATCCACAACTACATAATTTCATCACAAAAAGAAGATACAAGGTCAAAAGAAATCGTGCAAAAGTCCTCAACTCGCATCAATTTCTTTTAAGAGGGACTCGCAAGTGGGAGGTAGGGGTGCCCTTCCATGGCCTACCATTAATAAACATAAGTAATCGGATATTAAGCTTCATTAAAGAACAAAAAATAAAACAGAAATGATTTTTTTTTAAATTTTGCTTTCAGAGAAGTTACGCCAGGGAGTTGTACCGAAGAAGAAAAAACACGCAAAACTGCCTTGCGATATGTGGTTAGCTTTCTCATCATTGATGCAATCATTCCTGGATCCATATCGTGATCTTGATAAACGTGGAAGTAATCTGCAAAAATGCATCCAATTTTCTTTCAGAACAGGTCCGGTCGAAATTCAATTTCGCGATGTTGTATGATTAATTTAGAACACCCGATTTATTCTCATTTATCTTCAATTTTTCTCCGATAACTGAGGTTGCAAGTTCATGAGACCCGACGGTTTTTTTGCACATTTAACTGCATGTTTAACAGATATGTTGGATCCAAAAAAACTCTCTTTTTCAATGCGCCAGTCGAAATTATTTTAGAGCAACGATGGAAGTTTTAAGTTTTTAAGAAATTTAAGTTATTTCTTAGCTTTTACCTTGTTTAAACTGAACTTAGTACAGTATGATATGTATCTTTAAAAGACAAATCTAAGTCGATTTGCTAAATTTCAATCTCTTTGAAGAGTCATCATAACGATAGCAAAAGACTGAATTAACTAGGTCATGTATACGAACTTCTTTAGAATTTTTTTTTTTTTTTTTGACATTCCGTTACTAACTTTCTATCCCTTTTCTCCAATCAACGCATTTTTCATGATTACGAACAATCTCGTTTGCCACGCTGGACACCTGCCTTCTGCGTCCTTCCGTAAAAGTCACAGTCCAGCTGCAAATGTGAGTGATGACACGCGGATAACGAAATTAGGTGAATAGAATATATGCACAAAAAAGGACAAATTGTAGTAAAATGAGTAATTTTCAAATCCCAACTTGCTGTGCAGAACATAGACGCGAATGAATCATCGACTGTTATCCTTTGTACAAGTTGGGCAGGCACTGCAAACCCAGAAAACATTTCCTCGACTGACAATAAATCTATACACACTATTTCTACGAGATTTCCTCGATCGTATTCAGAGAAAAGGGCAAAAATATTAAATAAAAACATCCTCTAGTCCTAACCCTACCCCAGAGGCATGTTCAGGTGAGCACACAGTGTATCAAGTCTTCATGCCTGCAAGTGATTGCGTTCTGGCAGAACGCTCTTTCTGCAACTTGGAACGCGGTAAGAAACAGACGTACCTACCTTTACGTGTTATCAGCAATACGACTGCCTGCGACGAGGTTACTCCTTAGACTGATATCTTCTCTGGCGTGGAGACGTCTATTTCTATCCTTTCTGTCTCCTAATTGACTCCTTATGCGCACTACCAAAACAACACTGGTAATTGGGGGCTTGTCAAAACAGCTCGTTATTATAAGCTAGGGTCTAACGAGCCTCCATTGTGAAAAACTACCTAACGATTTCCTGCTAACGGTGAACGGCGTACAATGGGCGCTGATTGCTGCAGCTTTTTCCAAGCTAATAAGCGATAATACCAGATAGCAGCCGCATTCACAGTGCGCCAGAAAGGGCATATCCTTCTACTTTTGTAATAGTAAACTCATTTTTTATTAGGCACAATATGATATATAGCATGCCTGTCTTGTATCGCTCTTTTAGAGTGACTTCAGATGTTTCTATTACTTTATCTATTTTAAAAGAACGTGTGTTTGGATGGGTATGGGGGGTAAACAGAAAGAGTGGTTTGAATAGTTGAATCGTTTTTGTCAAATATGGATTTTGCTGTAACTGCTTTTATCTTCACTGATAATAACAATATTCGACCCTTAATTTAAGGTGAAAAAACAAAAAAATTAGTGGATGTGGACATTTCTGGTGCCATTATACACGCATGCAACCATGATATCGTATGCCGTCTTCTGCTTGAAAAAAAAAACGTTACACCTGCCAAAACCCAAGTGATAATATCCTGATAAGCAGGGAGTTACTACTTAGCACTTAGGGGGTAGCTTTAGGATATAATGTTTTCCACGTATCGCCGATTGCTGGAAATGATAGCAAAACAGGAACAAAAATCACGAAAAACATACCTGCAGAAACATGCTATCTCTACTTTGACCATTAATAGTGGCAAGCCTGGTAGATGGTGTACCCAAGTCTGATGCACAGCCGGGGTGATAATAGAGAAGATTTCCATTTGGTGGGGTGGGCGTGGCCTACTTTATATTCCCCAGTATAGTACCAGTATATAGTGTCCTAGTAATATGTGTGTGTGTGTGTGTGTGTGTGTGTGTGTGTGTGTCAGAGAGAGAGAGAGAGAGAGAGAGAGAGAGAGAGAGAGAGAGAGAGAGAGAGAGAGAGAGAGAGAGAGAGA